TGTGGCTGAAACACAGCAGTAAGAAGGGGCCAAGGAGAAACAGTAGAAAGGCTGCAGAAAGAGTCAGGAGCCCAGAGGAGGGGGCAAAGAGGGTGAGGGGGTGGGGGGCAGAAAGCGGAGACGAAAGCAGACGACAGAACATTGCTAGAGAGCAGGAAAGGAGGTGAAAGGAGACAATTTAAGAGAAGATTTTTTTCGGTCGCTACCCAGATTCGAACCCGGGACATTGCATGGGAGGCGAACACCTTAACCTCTTGGCCACGAGAACCCCACAAGGACTGGTCTGAAACTGGACCAATTTGATTTTTGTTGTTGTTTGAGTAATTAAAGAGAAAAACATCGATACAATAACATCAGCACATTTAGTGCTGGGAAAGAGCCAGACGACAGACATAAACAACAAAAAGAGTAAGGACCTATGATTGACGCCCTTGAACAACCAAGACCCCCACAGACCGGATCACTCAGTCCAGCTGGAGCAAGGAGGTGAGACACTACAGTCAACACTGTCTTAGACGGCCATCTATTCTTGAGGAGAAAAGTGGCTGTCTTAGATGGCTGGCTTACACTTACACAGAATCATCATTATAATGAACAAAAACATATGGGAGGAAATCGCAAGTGACCGTTTGCACAGGTGATTGTCTTTTTCGGGTAGCCGGTGGAGCAGGTTCGACTATTCCATTGGACCAAAGTACATTCCAAATCCACATCATTTTCTATGCCTCTTATTTGTTTTTGTAACTGTTTTACGGCACTTGCAACGCAATAAGGTCATATAAGTGCCGAAAGTTAGAGGTGGTAAAAGAGAGAAACAAACACAAAAAAGGAGGGGAGCTGAACGCAATAGATGTTTGATAGTCAAGAAGGAGCAAACCACACCAGACCACCCACAGTTCTTACGTCTTAATTCAGTTTCAGTTTTCATAACAGTTTTACGGCACTTGCAACACAAAAATAGGTCATATAATTAGTGCCGAAGATTAGAAGTTACTTCCTAGAGAAAAATACAAAGAAAACAAGGAGGGGAGATAAGGACGATAGGTGTTTGATAGGAAAAAAGAAGGAAGGAGCAAACCCCACCAAACCCCCACAAAGAGGGGAAAAAAACACAACACAAAAAGATGTCAAGAAATGGGGTTGACTCTGTGTATTTATGAATACAGGAGGAGTTTATAAGATTAAGTCACAAACAGGGAGTCCTAAGTCATCTAAACTTTTACTGCGAGAGACAAGAGAAAAACTTGTATGTCAAGCACTCTACTTCATGAGCTCACAATAGGTGTACACTCATTAGTATAGACGAACACACAAGGTCACCAGACTCATACACACACGCATACACGCACACAAACACATCATCGTAAAACAGAAACATATTTTCATTCTGGGACCACAAGTGAAGCTATAAGGAGAATCTCACAAAGCCAAAAGGATTTTTCTAATCTAAATACTCTGAGAAAGCTCATTTCACCCTCGGGGCGGTGCCACAGACTGAAGTGTCTTTAGGCCATTCCTAAAAGGGGGGACATTTCTCGTTCATGCACAGTAGAATTGTAAATGGGCTGATCCATCAATGTCATGCTCATAACTGTGCCTGATCTACAACAGGGAACTGCTGCTTTTTCTTTTATAATCCTTACTATTGTCATTTTTCCTCTACTTCTTTTGTATGTTTGTCACACTCTTGTGACCCATTATTTCCGGGGTGCCTTGATAGTCGAAGCAGACTTTGTGCTGTTGAGGCAAGAGAGGTGAGCAGAGTAAGTCTGATTCCCTGTAAGGACTTCTCTGTTGACATCCACCCCTTGGCGCTCATATGACCGAATGCAGTTGTGAGCATCCTAAAACCTCTACTAAAACTAAAAAGCTCATTTTTTAAATAACCAAGACCATTAAAATCTCAGATGAATATTTATTTTCCTACTCATATCTGTGAGATCTCAATTGGCTAATGTTAAAAGGTAAGCCAGTAGTATATGACCTATGGTGACAAACAGGGAAGTATAATAAAGGAAAAACACCAGTGATGTCATAACACTGTTATAAAACAATCAAAACAGGAAAGAAGCAGAAAGAGATCCTTCGACAGAAAATTGCCACACAAAAAAATAGGAACCACAATTTTTAAAAAGTTGAAATGCCAAGGACAAACAAGTAACTCAAACTCCATTTTTACCCATATGCATACATTATTGCCAACCCACACTCTCTCTCTCTCTCTCTCAGACACACACACACACACACACACACACACATAAACACACATGAGCGCACACACAGAGACAATAATTCACAAATTAGTCTATGGCTGGATACAAGACTCCGCCAAACAACAGTTTGCAATCTGGCGTTTGTTGGAGGTCTTGCACCAAGTCATCAATGTGTAAGTTTACACACTAAGAGGGTTGTGCGTGCATAGAAACATGACTCACATATTAGTTTAAAAACTTTTGAACCACACCCAAAACAGCACATCATACTTCCAGTTTCACCCATAATTGCATCAACATCAATATATCACAGATAGTCGTTGAACTATTCCTATCACACCACGGACAAACTATCCATGCAGCGCTAGTCCCAGTAGAGACAAAACACAAAAAGCATAACAGGCAGCATGTCCAGAAGCATGGCATGCCTATGAACACTGTAAGCTCAAAAGAGAGGTGGCAGTGTAGTGAAAAAAAAAGAAGATGGGGTTAATGACAGAAAATTAAAATTGAAATACTACTTTTGTGGGAATCTTAAAGGCGCGATCCACAACGAAAAACAAAACGAACAATGATTCCTCAGAAAACCTGACTTTAAGTTTAAGTAATATATGATTTAACCACTCCTTATCAGCATCTTGGCTGAAAAACCCCCCCGGAATTACATTTCTTATCAACATCTTGGCAGAAAAAAAAGAAGTAACATTCCTTATCAGCATCTCAATCTCAGCTCCGAGAATTTTCTCAATAGCAAAACACTTCATAAACCACTTTATCCATTGGTGAAACTTTGTTGCTCTTGTTTCTCTATACCTGCACTGATCACACCTGAACATGGATGGCTCTATAAATAAATCATTGATGGTCAGGACCTTTGAGAGAACCATGTTTTCTTTACTTTCTCAGCTAAACCACACTGTCTGAAAGAAGCACAGACTGAACACACTTCTGCAAAGATGGATAGCATATCCCGTATCAGCTCAAAACTATATGTCTTCTTAATTCACACAGAAACCAGCATAATATGACACTCTCAGCATCACAGAACTCTCCATTTCAACTCGCTTTAACAATAATACATAAGTAGCAAACAAAATAGAATCCAAAAACAGACCAACAACAAAAACACATCAAAACTCAAACAAAATAACACAAAAAGGCAGTCATGATGGTACATGTGGTATATTAAATTTGGATGTTATTCTGACATCATCACAGCTTATCAACTGAGCATTTTTTAAATTTATCTTAAGTAAGATAATTCATGGTTTCTTATTTTCTTAGTTTCTTATTCATGCCAAATTTGGCACAACCACATAAATAACTACATCCTCATCTTTGACTCAACGACATGCCAATGCTCAGAACTGATTTGGCTGCAGAAATAGCCAGCTGAAAGGAGGATTTGCTAATTTCAATGCACATAGCACCATTCTGGGTTTTTTCCCTTTGCATTTTACAGCTTTCCTTCACAAAGCTGTTTCTGCACGGTAAAAGGCCAGATCACAGACACTGTATCAATGTCACACAGTGCCAAAATAAGGTCACAGGCAAGGAATCTGTATAAAATCAAAATAATATATTCAGTCTAACAAGCACATAGTGCATTTCTTTTCAGGTTCTTAATTTTTTCATACACGTTTATTCTACGCTATGAACATCTGCTTAAAACATTACACTAAATTTGTACATAAGAAAAAGATGATCCCGCCCCGCCGATTTTGCTATGTGCATGCTAGACTATAGTTGAAAAAGGTGACATTTCAAATCAAAGGGGAGGGACTTATATTAAAAACACATTTACCGTAGGAGACAAATCTGGTTTGTTTACTAATAAAGACTTTTATTTACAAATTTTTAGGCGACATGAACCTCCCAAAATATCCTTTTGCTTTCTGCAGATACACAAACAGAACGTTAATAAACAAACAAAAACATTGAAAGAAAATAGATGGAAGACATGTCATTTTTCCTTTTCATCTCCGTAGCATTTATCAGCAGTCCCCAAGAGGGTGATGGAATCATAAGAAGAGATCTCTTCAGTTAATTTTTAATTTTAGTAAGAGTTTTTCACCAATTGCATCACAATAAGGTCAAAGGAGTGCCGAAGATTAGAGGTGTTACTAGAGAGTAACAAATACAAAATAGAAGGAGAGACAAGGACGATAGATGTTTGATAGGAAAGAAGGAGCAAACCACACCAGAGCACCCGCCAACCATCCACAATCCCTTCTGAACATACAGCTGTGAGGTAACATGAGGGCAAAACATGGCACTAGTTCAGTGAGCAGGTTATCAGAAAGGAACATTTGCCGCTACAGTTGAACTGTGGGTGGCTGGTGGGTGCTCTGGTGTGATTTGCTTCTTGTTTCCTATCAAACATTGATCTTTCCTCCTTCTTGTTCATGTTTGTTACTCCCTTGTAACACCTCAAATTTGCGGCACGTATATGACCTTATTGTGTTGCAAATGCGGTAAATCACTTACTAAAACAACAAAACAGTTGAACCTGTCTTAGTGATCACTTCTCCTTAGCCGTCACCTGGTCTAATGGGCCACCGTTCCGTGACAACTTTGCATTTTTTCTATATTTTTAACCTGTCTATAGTGGTCTCTATCCAACATGGTTTGGTCAGTAATTTTCGCGACGAGTTGGCCTTACAGCAGTTACTTGCCACAAAAATTTTCAGCCAACCTGTCATCCAATTGAGTGTGTATATTCAGTCAAAGCAAAGAAGCTCTCAAAATAGACAACAAATTTAATGGAAATGAAATGGAAAGATTATATTTATCAAGATTTCAGATTTTAAACCATCTGTTGACTTTTTCAAGTCTAATAAGTGATCATCAAAACTCTGACCCAATCCATAACGGCCACTGGTCTACTTTGGTCAAATTTCTCTGTGATCTTAAGGACAGGTTCGGCTGTACAATTTGTTTTTAAAAAAAGAATAAGACAATAATTATGAGCAATGACGGGAATAAATCACACTTTAACAAACAAATCTCAATATGCGTTGTTAACTTTGACCTCTAGCAGATGATTTTTCTAAAAAAAAAAATAGCGTTGACACACAGAGTTTGTGTTGTTATGCAAAACGATAAAACTAAAGTGTATTGTAAAGAAACTACCAGTCTGGTAGAGTAGACAGTAGAAAAACAAACATCACAACTCTGTACATTAGGACAGAGTAACAAACATGATTACTGCTTCAACAAAACCTATCTCTTACATATAGGGTATCACCATTTCACTTCATAAATGCTGCAAATGCTGGCCGCAAACACTAGCCTTACAAGACAACCCCTGAAGTTGAAACATGAAAGTCAGAGACTAAAACTTGCAGTCTATGACTTTCCAGCTGGTAGCAAAACTACTTGACAGTGACAGCTGATACTCACCCTGCAACAAGTTATTAAACATGCGAGGGGATCTACAATGCTGACCAAGTCTTTAGAAACCACACATAGGGTCATTTTTCTTGTACAAATCAGTTTCTAGCCCACCCACAGGTAAAAATTTCTTTATTCTTAGGGATTTGAGGTGGACTTGTTCAAAATGATATGTAGACATTTGAAGAAAATTTGCCTATCTCTTTTTCGGGATCAAAAACCTGGTCAATTTCTTAGGTAAAGCTCTACACTTTTTAAACATCAAAATGGATTTAAAAATTGCGAGTCTGCTGAGAAAAAGTAACATATAGTGAGAGCTGTGGACCAAGTTCTAAATTTAAAACTTGTAGAAATAATAAGTTGCGTGTACCCTTAAGCTCCAAAGAGGTCAGTCACTGACACTTCACACCTACTCTGACCAGTGTCTGGGATATATAGCAAGCATCACTCGAAGTTCATCACAATTTTCTATTCGCTTACTCTATAAGTATGAGCAAATTCTGGCAACAGCTGAAAGACATGTCACAGCACAGGATAAATAGGAAAACTATTCTACACACACAAACACACTTTCACTAACGAGTTTAGAACAGGAATGTCAATACTGACAGTTTAAACTTACAGCAGTAACATACCTGCACCAACATGTTAATCTAATATTTTTCTAAAAAGAGTCATGGATTACCTGTTCTAAAAACACAGGATCTAAAATGATCCAAAATGTATTTCACATCCCCGAATGAAGTTTATTCATAGCATCACAACAATTGGAACCCTGAACTGTTTGCTTTGGAGACAAAAATGAAAACAAACATTGAAAAAGACTTTATCCCTTTCATATTATACACTCACACACACACACACACTCATTCATACACAAACACACACACATAGAGTTTTAAAGATGCAAAAATAAACAACAAATGTATAAACATCCACTCAGTGTCGACAGATTTTCCTCACAGCTCGGCGGTTGTACCCATAATCTACAGGTATATACTTCCAAAAACAACATAGTCCTCGTCATTATAGACGCTCCGCACTGACGATAACAATGACAACAAATGCTGATACCAGCAAACCTGACCAAATGTAATCAACACCGCTGACCCGGGTCCCACAAGTCCACAATAATGAGCAAGGATCATTCCTATGTTTACCATGTCAAGATTTTGCTAACACACTTTCATACACCAAGTGTAAATAAACATTATTCAAGTAGATAAATTGATTACAAAATACATTTTTCTAAGAAATGGTTTTTTTTCTCTCTCCTCTGAACTTTCTAGCATTACAGGGTACAATTCACGTAAATGTAGAGAATACATATGTGAGACAATGTGGTGAAATCAGGCGCTTGTCAAAATAATGAAATCGAAGAAACCGTACCAGCATTTTTATGCTGGTTTGGCCATTTTTATAGATTTTTTTGTTTTTTGGATAAACACCTTTTACATCCATTTAAAAACACATTTCTGTGTGGATTTTACTTAAATTTTTTTATTACAGGCACAAAAAATGTAAGTTTGCAATTTCCAAGGACTCTCACGCTTTGGAAGTGACCCAACTTTGGCCACCGTTTTCTCGGTAATTTTACCTCTGAAACCAGGTGCCCCACCTCCTTCAATTGCAAATGTCTCGAATTCTATTCAAAGTAGATGAGTACTTTTTTCATAAAAAGCAAGACAAATGGACAACCTTAAAAATGATACAAATAATTTTGCATGCTGAAAACTGACGAGCGCCTGATTCCACTACATTGTGACACATGCACATTTATATTAATGTGAATATAACATGGTGTGTACATGTAAAATAATGGCCTTCAGTGAAAGAGCACAGATATAATAAATATTTATTATAAAATGCAGTTGATTATGTTAAGAATCATAACCGGATCCAACAAATGGAACCAAACATCCATCATGTAATGGGGTCTAAAGCTTTTCCAGCAGATGACACTTTGAGTTTGATAAACTATTCATCTTTAACATGTATGTGAACAACGATAGGTCTGGTTGACATTCACACTAAACACCAAATCAAGAAACAGCTTTCTTGAGCAAAAAAACACCCATCAGGTCACTAGGTCCACAATTCCATATGTGGTGAAAACTAGAAAAGGAAACATTGTCATGCGACCCAAAGAGAAAGAAATACTGACCTTTTTCACTTTAAAAATAACAGTTTCAGTTGTAAAGAGGTGGAAAAGAATCACTACAGAGTTTCAAATGGTTACTCTATAGCACCATGAAAAGTCAAAATGAAAGGCTGATCTATACCGGGCAAGAAAGTCAGAAATTTTAAAACCAATTTGAAAGTTCGTGTAAGACAAAGAAGATACATATTCTCAACATGAAATACATAATTCAGAACTTTCACTAGCAGAACATTGAAGCGAGAGAAGATAAAAAGCTAATATTTGCACCTTTAAACCACATCACATTATCTCAATATCTTTGTCATTATCTAAGACAATCTGAGAAAGATCCAGTTGCACCTATGGGGACAGGGTCCTGCCTAGCAGGATCAAAGATAGTAGGCCTACTCTACATGAAGATTCACTCTCTACAGATAGCATCCTCAAAAATCAGTGTGCAAATCTTAAGATGTGTGCCACTTGTGCAAGTAAAAATGTGTTGTTTCTCACTTCTCAAATAGAAATTTGTTTCATTCAATCCTTACTTCCACTCTTTGTACACAAGATACATCACTCTAAAAGTAATATAAAAACACACAAAAATAAAGATGGCACCACTAGATTTTTTTAGGACCTTCGAATCACCTCCAAATCAATACCTCAGACAGAGAAATAAACCATCTTGCAGTGTGCACTACTTGGCAAGGTCACACGCGCAAACAGATGAGTTTGAGAAAGTGCTATTTGACATACATTCATCAATCTGTACTGAAAGTCTCTTTCAAATTGTTGCGGTTTCCAGAGGCTGAGCAGGCTTATGTAGACAGATACTACTCCTCCAGCTTGGATAGATCGTACAGAACTTCCAGGATTGTGGCTGCACTCCAGGCCTGGGTGCGACAGCTGCCCTCACAGTACTGAGAATACAGACAACAAATCAGTATGTGAGTTAAAGAGAAGAACATTATTATACAGGATGCCACTGGGATTTTGAGAAATAACTGAAAATCTATGAAGCTGTATTTGCAAACAACAAGACAGTAAGCAGCCACAAATAAAAAAAAATCACAAAATGCTGAGAATAAAAACTGTTCTTCAAACACATTTCAGAGAATATCAGAAAAAAACATACGGAGGGGGAACCTCCAAAAAATGGTATCCCTGATTTTAGTGCTGGGAAGAGGCAATGCAGACAGAAACAATAAAAGAACAGGCAAGAAGTAGGGTGTCCATAAGGAGAGGCCTTCTAACTATCAGAGTAAATAAAAAAAATTCAACCCCCCATGTACAAAACAGTGCTACAACAGTGCTACATGGTACTGGAAGTTGTGAACATTTGTATAATTGTTCAATTCTTGAGTGAAGGCTTTTTATCACCTCTCAGAACAAAACGAGCGGGTAGATGGCCTCATTTACAAACATCTTGCCTCAAGACAAAACGGCTGAGAATTTGAACATTAGTCCAACCCTTAGCATCAGCATTCATTACCATCTTACAAAATGTCCTGCCTCAAGTTGCATGTCCATTGCTGCTCACTAGTTATAGCGGTTATATGACTTTAAACAGAGATGGAAGTCTGCACTTATGGCTAGATTAGTAGGAGGGACGTACATAGATCACGAAAAATGCTAGTGTGTGTGTGTGTGTGTGTGTGTGTGTGTGTGTGTGCGTGTGCGTGTGTGTTTGTCAGGAGAAAGGTCCCAGTTGTCGACCAAGCTAATTTTGAGCAACAGAGTGAAAAGGCCAAAAAAAGTGGCACTTGGTCATAAATTTAGTTCCATCAAAAAGCACACGACGAACCAGTTTCTTAAAAAAATGTATTGAAAGGATTTTATAATATTTTAAGTCTAAATATTTTTTGTCAGTTATTTTTGCAACATATTGTACTTCACCAAAGGTTGAAAATGTGCTAGAAATAGGGTTTTTATCAAAACTTTGTTCTTAACCCTGAGTTACAAAATGTGGCATATCTTTAAAACAGTTCAAGATATTCACAAAATTAAAAAACCCCCAGCGTGTTCAGCATTGAATTTGCTACAAGAATATGCCCTTAATTTAATATCTAATATTTCCGACAACTGGGACCTTTCTCAAGGCACACACACACACACAAACATATGAACACAATACAACTAGAAAAGTGATGAAAACTTAACCAAAATCACAATTAACTCTGAAATGAGGCTTGGCCATTTTGTGTCTTTTCATGCACCAAAAGACTGAAGCTGAAAATGCCCTCCGAGTTAAAGTCGTCCAAAGCAGTGAAGTGACTGAACAAACTAAAAACAGAACAAATTAATGGGTGGTTGGAAGATGCATCGGTGTGGTTTGCTCAATCTTTCCCATCAAACATCTGTCGTCCTTATCTCTCCTTTTTTGTATGTTACTCTTTGGTAACATCTCTAATCTTCTGCACTTATATGCCGCGAATGCTGTAAAACTTTTATTAAAACTAAAAAAAACACCTAAGAACAAATCAGTGTTCTGAAAAAGAACACCCCCACCTTTCCGTCTGAGTTGGTGAGCTCCGGTAGTCCCTGCCAGGGGTTGTTCAAGATCTCAGCATAGTGTTTGCAGAGCACGGAGATAGCATACAGCTTGGTCTTCTCCAGAATGCCTGGCTGTGTTTTCTCCAGTTTACTGGCAAAATACAACTTGGCACGCAGGAAGAAGCCCACTGGCCACACCCATTCCTAGAAAAAAGGGGAAAAGAAACAGAACATCAATTTTTTTTAAAAGTAAGTGATTTTACACTTCAAATGACATGATTTAGGTCATTTAGGAGGCTTGCTGTGACCCTCTTTGTCACGAGCATGTTTTCACATTCATGTTCGAGTATGCATGTATGTCTGTAGTATGTAAGTGGGAATGTACACATCAGCTAAAAGATTGGCTACATACATATTGGCTGTATATGTCCATGGTTGGGTGCAAAATGAAAAATGGTGATTTTCAGAGTTTGCACCTAACCATCGTTGTGTTGGAGTGAGCACGCCAGTTACGAAGCATGTATGTAAACTAAGAATAAGACAATACCAGGAGTCTGGCATCAAGACTTACAGGTCCCTGGTGGTAATTCCAGCCTTGAGCCACATTAATGTCCTCAGAGTCATTGCTGTTGTCATAGTCACCACGGTAAGCCCAGTCACTGCGGTAGAGAAGGGGTGGGAGAGTTGGAAAGAGACCAAGACAGATTAAATAAATTTAGAGGCTTCGTTTTGGGTTTAAAAAATTCAACACAATATATCCGAATCAAGGGAAGATCGGTCCAACAACATGAAAATGATATGACATGGCCCTGAGCACCCGTAACGTTGCACCAATCTAACTGTTCCAACTCTCAAGCACAGGCTCTTTCCCCTAAAATCTCAAGGCTCACATGAGTTCATGGCAAACAAGAAGTACGTCACAGGCTTTCCACAAAATAGGAGAATCAAAAAATTCAAAGAAACTTTCAGTACACAGAGTCAAGACTGCTGAGCTTTTCACTGGGAGGTCAAGACCCAAAATTATACAAAGTCATAAAGTATCCTTTCCTGTCATCTTTGAGACACACGTGCCTGTGTTCACAAATTCTGGCCACTTAAGCAACAGTATCTCGAGAAGATCTATGTACTATCTATGACATGACAACAGCAAACTTGACCTCATAATGAGAAATTTGTCCTGGTCTTGTACACTAGTAGTGAGTATTTTTATGAATACACACTCATACACAAACACACCACTCTCTTTCTCTCAAAGGTGCAATGTAAAATTCTAAAACCTAGCAACCATTTTTATCAAAATGATAAACTTTGAAAAATAACCACGGCTCCAGATGCTGTGACACTGATGTATTTTATCAGACAAAAGAAGTCCAAAAAAGAAAAAAAAAATTAACAAGAAAAGAATGCAGACTAGATAATTTAAAAAATCGAATGGATGTCTGATCACCAACTGAGGAACACTCGCCAAGACCACAAGACTACTAAGAAAAAAAAAATCCCTTTTCTAAGACAGCCACTAACTTCACTGGCTGATTACATCCCAACTCCTCTTTCTTTAAAATCAAGGTGACTTACGCTGGGTCCAGGGTTTTCATTCCAAGGGGGCCAAGCAAGATCTGGCCGGCGTTCTCAAGGGCCGCCCATGCATTCTCCGGAGTGAACAGATCCGGGCACTGCAGGGGACCACAAACAGAAACATGAGTCAGAACAAAATAACTCATCTAGAAATCCAAGAATAAGAAAAATATTAGTCAAATGAAAACCTAGAGGCGAAATTTGGGTCACAATGGCATAAAGAATTTATACATAAAATACTTCAGAGGTAACACAAACATCATATTAATAGTACTAATACAGATAATAACAATTACAAAATATGTACTTTCTAATCACAAAAAATGAATGCCCTATACCTATGAATAGCCAGGTGAATAGAGGAAAAGGGGTAAAGTACCTTTCGAAAAGATACAACGTCCTATCTGACAGACCCAGGAATCAAACTTTGACTAGGCCTGTCTGTTCTCCTTCCAAACAAGGACCTTCTCAGCTGCAGCCATTGTTGATGTGCATTCTACTATTAATTTCAAATATATTGTTTTTATATTGCAGCTCTCTTTTGTGCTTGTAAGATAGCTTCAATACAAGCAGAGACTGAGAACACAACACTGAGCAAAGACTAATAGAGTCCTTGACAACTAAAAAATGACATATTTTGTGCCTTTAATCAACGTTTTTCAGTTAACTTCACACAGAAATGTGTTTTTAAATGAATAAAAGGGGTAGAGCCAAAAAGCATAAATTAAAAAAATATTGCCCAACTGGTGGAAAAACGCCTGTACCTCCGATTTCGTTATTTTGACAAGCGCCTGAGTTCACCAAGATACCTCACACTTATTTAGAATAATAAATCTGATTACCGCAACCATGGCGACTGGGAAGTTACAACGCAGTTGGAAGTTGGCCCAAAACTGTGTTGCGTTGACGCTGTCCTTGTACATCCCACGCCGGTTGATCAGCTCTGGGTTAGGCTCGTTCTCTTTGTCCGGCTTTGGTGAGATGTAAAACTGTCTCTCAAAGTTGGTCTTGATTTTATCAAACCATTCTTTGTATGTCACTTTCACTTTTTGACCTGAAGAGAGAGATGGATAAAAGGACTAAAAGGATTCTCAAACTCTGAACGTGTATTGTTGACAATAATTTGTAAATCTGACAAGTTAAGAGTTTCTGACTAGCTTTCCTATGGTTTCACTTTCACAATTTTAAGCCATATTATTGATCAATTCTCTGACAACTTGTTGCATTTACAAATGAGAGAGATCAAGGAATTTTTTCACCTTTTTCATGCATTTGTGTAATCCACAGTGGCTTGCACTCTCTCATCTATAATACATATTTAGTGGTATGAGATTGAAAGGGTTTTATATTTTAGGTACGTTAAACATGTTGGACATGCACGTTTGTGAATTTTGATACAAAAAAGCAGATAGAAACTTTTTTTCATGTGTAATTTTCTTCAACAGAATAAACATTTCAGAAGAAAATGAGGATCACTATGTCGTGCACTGCAGATAGAACAAGGGCCACCCAAAACTGAACTCAAAACATTCACAAAATGCAGATAGAATCCTTTTAATCTCATATGACGATTTGTAGTGCGATTGTCTGTCTTATAAGCATAAACTGGATGAAAATACTTTTCTAGCAGTTGTTTTTGAAAAAAACTGTTGTCATGAAAGATGTGATACTGAACCCCCAAAACACCCGTGGAAAAAAAAGCGGCATTTTCCTTAGACAATTCTTTAAAACCTTTTATTTGCTAAAAGTACAGAACAAAAATATACAGGCAAGGGGTAACACTTTCACAGAACTGTTCTTGTTTACATTTCGAATTAATTGCAGCCAGATAGTGGCAGAACATAAACCTTCAAAATCAACTTTGGCAAAACTTGATCTCTACAAAGTATATTATGGTCTCCAATCTCAACAGTTAACTGCTCTATATTCCAAGTCATGCACATGCTGTCAACATGAGGCATAGATCGAAAGTACAGTCTTCAGTCAAAACACATTATTTTAATTCCAAATTAAAGCGGTCAACGATTGTGCTATAATCATCGATTCACGCATAATTTTTAGGTCAGCAAATACATAAACAGTTCCTAGTTCTAGTAGACCTTTTACGGTGCTCGCAACTACATAAGGTCATATGAGCGCCAAAATAAACAGCTCCGAATGTAAAACATTATACAAGATTTAGTATTCTCATGAAGTCAAAATTGCCTAAAAAAAGGATCAAATATTTCTTGTTGCCAAGCCGTCTTCATAAGAATGAAAATGAAAAAAAGGATGGGGGAGAACCTGAATATAAAACAAAACTGTTGTTCAGCAAATATTAACATACCGCACATACTGGGATTTTTACAAACCTAATCTAATCTAATTTCGATAATTCCTTTCACATGTGGAGTTGGTTACAATACTCACCATTAACTTCTTTTTCCACACCATCATAAGGGTAGAGTTTTGAGCTGTTCGCCTCAGCCAGCCACTGCACAACACCAGCACACAGCCCCACCAGCTCCACAGCTGATCCATCTCTGAACAAAAACAAAAACACAAAAACAAATTCACAACCATAAACTTAGATAAATGTCTGCTTCTATTTCAAGATGATGAAATCACTGAGATGCAGCTTAATGCAAGTCGGTAAAGGAAAATGGCCACATTTTGCAAGGATCAAACTTGGAAAATAGGAACACGGAAAAGAAATAGAAGGAGCAGACACACCAGAGCACATAATCAACCACCCACTTTAAGATACAAAAGTGTGACGGCAATCTTATCAATTATTTCAGGTAATATTATAAGCGAAGATGACATCAGCTCATGAGACAAAGTCCTTAAAAATTTTTTAAAATTCTAGTCACGAGTCAAATGACCCAAATGCTAACCAATGGGCTGAGAAGTGGGCAAGAAAGATGTGCAAACTCTTTGAGTGTCCCTATGTGCCAACTTGAAGAATAAACCACAATTCGGGAAAAACTGTGTAAGTTATTTCACCTCACTAATATCGACACACAGTCAGAGCTGAAGTATCTGGGAATCGTCTTCGACAGGTCGTTATCCTTCAACAAGCATGTGAATCATGTGGTAACAAAGGCCAAACGAGGTGTTGGTGCAATCAAGACCATGGCGGCCGCTCTGATTCCGCAAAGAGTGCTCTTCCTGATGTTGCAGCTGGTCGTCCTGTCTGTCATTGATTATGGATTGGGCTGTCTCACGCTGTCCGACACACAGATCGCAAAGCTGGATTGAGTGCAGAATGAGGCAATGAGAGCAGTGCTGGGCTGCACCAAGGACACTCCAATATTGTGCATGCGCTACTTGCTAGGTTTAAGTGGCATCAGAGTACGCCATAGGATAGCTCAGGCAAAGATGTATCTCAGTGTAATGGGCAAGAAGGATCATCCACTTCACAAAGCACTTCATGACAACAGGAGAGTCAGAATCAAGAGAGGAAAATCTTGGATGGCAGAAGCAGAGGATTCCCTGAGAACAATCTGTGTACCTGAGAGCCTACCACTAGGCAAAGAATGGGAACAGGTGGCCGGAGAATACAGGGACCTCACCAAGGTCAAAATAAGCATGGGCAGAGACAGAAGAAATGTTGCGGCTGCCATCAACAAGAGCGATATCAACGAGATTGCTGACACAAACTCAAAAGCAGGGGATCCTATAATTTATACAGATGGTTCAGTGAAAAGAGATAGTCAGAGAAGTGGATGGGGATTTGTTGCATTCGTTAACAATAAAACCATACACAGTGCATCTGGAGCCTGCAGTAGGGCTACATCAAGTATGCGTATGGAAATTGAAGCCATCACGAAAGCACTTGATTGGATGACCCAAGATCGCCCCCACACAACCCAAGCTGTTCTTATAACTGATTCTATGTGTACCCTCAGAAGGATCGAAAAAGGTTCCCTGAGAACAGAATGGATTCAAGCTATCGAACCAACGCCTATACGATCGCTCACATGGATTTTCTGCCCTGGCCATGCAGGTGTTAGGGGAAATGAAAAAGCCGACAGATTGGCTGGTGAGGCCACCTTAGTTGACAATACGGTTCAACCAGATAGGGTTGAGATCCTGAAATGTCTCTCTCGCCAGCTGATTGAGGAGGAAGATAGGGAGGCAGAGGCCAGTACTGCCGTGGAGAGGATGATGCTTTTGGGAATAAAAAAAGGAAGCGGAAAATCTGCCATCCTTGCAGGAAAGAAGAGAAGAACGTTCAACCAGATGTGCACTGGCACAATCAGTAGAAGGACCCTCGGCAACATTTTGGAGAGAGCAACGGAGCATCAATGGACATGTCCGGAGTGCAGGGATGTTGCTTTCTGAAACAATGAACTATGAACAAAGAACCTCACTAATGAATCTATATAGGGACACCAGTGAGACTGACCTTGGTGTGGCTGGCTTGCCTTTGCTTCCGGACTTGGCTGAGCTGCCCATTTTGTCCATCCAAGTTCCACAGTTCCACTCATTGCCACCAAAGACAAAACCAGTTTTCCAGTCAATGCCAATTTCATTGTTGAAACCTGACAAACAAACGACAGACATTAAACAGTGCTCATCATACCGTCATTTTCCTACTAATTTTATTCTGCTTCTAATTCCATTTGAGAAAACGCACCTTTTTCATAGACAAATTGTGAAACATCACCTATGCTTTAATATTTAATCAAAGAGATGTTGACAAGCTGAAGAATGTTTCTGTCTAAAACTAAACCAATCAAATTTGATATAGTTTCAAAGCTTTCTTCCATACTTCCGATTCAGTGTAGTGTATCATTTGATCACAATTTTACCAAGAGAAGTCTGTGAAAATGATCTCCATCAGAACACTATTTCTCATGATAAAATCACTTTTGGCACGAAAAAACGAGGCAGACACACAGAAACAATAGTTAAAGCAAAGAGGATAAAACCTACCAGTGGCACTTTCCAAACACCCATGAGAATGAACAATACAAAACCTGATGTAGCGTAAAATGGATCTTTGCAATCGAAAGGGTAAAAACAAGGTAGTTGATGTCATACATGGTGTCTATGCTACTTCCCCTTCTTTGTCAATAAACAAAATTCACCGAGTTTCATCAAAACTGCAGCCTCCATTATCATAAAGATTTACAAACCACCCACAGAAGTATTTGATAGGTACAAAAACAAGCATTTCTCATTTACTTATTTGCCAACAGTTATGTCAAACATTACAACTTGTTTATATATAGCATAACTACACAAACCAGCCTCTCTCATCTATTCATCTATCTCTTGTTATCTGAAATAATTATTACACTGCGTTCACAAAAACAATCTGCCAATACACTGACCAGCGTCAGTCATCTGTTCATCTATCTGTGTTCCGGCATTGCGTTCTCTGAACTTGACCCCGAGAGCATGTCTGCTGAGGGCTTCCTGCATCACATCGTGGAGTGGTTGCTCCTGTTTGTTTGGATTGGGTGGTGGAAAGGGGGGGGGGGGGAGAGGGAAGGAGGACGGATAATAAAATTATGAAATTGGCCGCTGTTGTGTTATAGAATGATTGGTTAATGAAGTTGAGTATAAACATGGTCACACATTTCTACAAAAAAACACGCATGTCCTTCTGCAGTGACCCACCCATTCACACACACGTACGATCTACAACATTATTGTACCAATGAAAGAAAATGTGACTATGACTGAACACCTCCATTTCCTTTTTTTATATCTTGAGTCTGAATCACTGAATTAGAGCTTTTGCCCAGTCTCTAGAAAGATTCACTTCTGCTGTAAACAATGATGATAAATTTTTCATAGAAAGATAAAAAGGTGTGTAACTGTGAAGGTCACACATTCTCAAAATAATGAGCAAACGGAAAGGGGTGAATTCCAAAACAGTGATGTTTATAAAACAGTGAGGCTTATTAAGACTGAAAATAAAAAGACAAACAGAAACCTAACAAATCTACACAAAAATTATAAGAATTCATAGCTCAAAGCTAGTCTTCAGTCTTGAACAAAGTGAATGAGTTTGCATAAAAACAAGCATAACCTTCAAAAAGACTTTTCTAATCATTTATCACAAGCAACTTCATTTCAACTTCATCACAAGACAGTCACTGCAGTGGAACCCACAAGGAGCACGAGGCAGGGGTAGGCCACGGGAAACATGGACGAGATGCGTGGAAAGGGACATGAGAGAAATGAAGCTCACTTGGAACGAGCTTGGAAGGATGGCTCAGGACAGAGATAAATGGAAGGAACTTGTATGTGGCATTTACCCTGCCAGGGGTGAAAGGTATTGATGATGATGAACTTCATTTCAGGACAATGAAGTAGGCTGATGTTCAAAAAACACCCTTTGCTGTTTTCTGCTAGCCCCAAAAATAATAGGAAAATTATATATATGGAGCTACAGGGCTATAAGAAGTATAAGGGAGGGGAGGGGGTATCATTCCAAAATCAAAATTCCAGCGGAAGTGAAGTCCATTTGACTCACCACTGCTCCTGGCTCTTGTGGCAGAGAGTCGTCCTGGGGGTACATCCGGCTGACCGGGTCCTTGAGAATACTGTAGCCGTTCTTGTCACTCAGGCAGTACTCCCGGATCACGTACAGCCAGAACCAGACAGCGTCACGGCAGTTAAACCGCGATCCTTTACCTTCATTCAACAGGTTGGGAATGAGGCCGTGGCGTAATGTTCCAGCATATGACAAGATGATGTGTCTGAGGAGAGTTGGTGGTATCCAGTGACATAGATGTGAAGCAATGACACAGTACAGGTCAGGCTTCCAGTGGTAAACACACAGGACAACAGTGCCCTTAAACTAAAATTACATGGAAGCAGACAACTATAGAGAAATATTTTATTTTGGGATGATATCATACCATAAAAAAACCAAATTATTCTAATGCTCTTGTGATCTTAAGTACCTAGCTTTTTTATAACTAAATTAAATGAATATGAAAATAACATATTTCATCAAAGATGCAGCAAAACAAACACAAAAATGTTAATGGTAAGTTTTTCATCTGCCACCATGCTTATCAAAAGAGAAACAATTCTTGCAGAAAGTCAGCAATAACATCAAGCAGACAGCTTAACACTACAGTATTTTTGATGACAGTTGCTCACCTTGCCTCCTCCCGTCTGTCCGTTATCAGCAGCAGACCTCGGAGAGAAATGAACGTGTCACGACCCCAGTTCCTCATGTAACCAGCACCAAAGTGTGGGAAACCTGAAATAGGACAGAAAAAACCCCAGAAACTTATAAAAAGGTTGTTCCGCATCTCTCTTTCTCTCTCTCAAAACCTTTACCACAGAACTCGGAGTAAGAAAGATAATTTTCCTAGTGGAGGGGAAAGACACTTGACTATGGCCTTTCAACCCCCTGGGACTAGGTTCAATTCCCAGCTTTGTCAGACAGGATGTTTTCATAGGGGATGGTATTTTATACTGTTTTCCTCTGCTGAACTTTGGTACAGGGTGCTGCACTGTGGAGACTTTTGATGGCTAGCTCACAATATATTTCAACTAAACAACCGAAAATAGTCACTGGCCAGGCACTGAAAGGGTCTTTCTTCTTCCAGAGCTGTCTTTTGTTCTGACACGCCTTACTGAAGGAAAGAGCTACAGGGTGTAACAAATGGGAAACATTTTTCTCCAACCATCTTACCCATTTGGCTACTCTAGAATTACAAAGTTGTATCAGCTCAGTACCTAGTTTTGAGAAATTTGATGTTAAAAATTTTGAATTTCACAACATGTAAAACTTTTGCTAGATCTAATGCAATTCTTTGAATATTTTGATGACGACACGGAATAATCTTATGATTTTGATGGAGCAGATAGAACATTTGGTTTCTGAAATCATGGTCTTAGTAACTCAAAACAGCCATAAATGTCAGATAGAACCTTGTAATTCTAAGGTAGTGATTACCTACCAGCAGACATGGAGAGTGGAGCCTCCTCATCCTGTTTGCGACAGTTGTTGTACTCTGTACGAGGGCGGGGCACCAGCCGCGGGGAGAGCGGCGCTAAGCGGGCTTGTGGGGCATAGCCCACCACTTGCAGTGAGGTCATGCTGAGAGCTTTCACAAAAAAGGACCCGTCCTTGATGAAACTGGGGAACAAAAACATTCACTGACATTGACAATCGTACGAAAAACATTAACTGACTTTGTGACAATAATAAGGAACACAATAATAGCCTGTGAAAATCATAGACTCACTCAATCCTGGGAGTTTTCCCCGAAATTGTAGGCTACCCAGAAACCGGTTATTTTGGTATTTAAGGAAGGGTCCACTAGTAACCACAAATATCATTCAGTTGCTTTGAAATTTGGTGCAAAGTACAACCTAAGATGGACCTTTAGACGTACCAAATTTGAAGTAGGTAGCTTTAGTAGATTTGCTTTGGGGTGTTGAACAAATTTGGCATTATTAGGGGCTTATTATTATTTTTTTCATGGCCGAATGAGCAAGAGCAAGCCTATATTGATATTCAAATATGCTTGTGAGTGTCTGTCTGTTTTTGTTTTGGTAGAGGTTTTACGGCGCTCGCAACTGCATAAATGTCAAGTATAATACAGACGGTTGAATACTTTCATGAGTAAAAAAATGTATGTGTGAGAAAGGCAGAGAGAACTGATTGTGAGACATGCTCAGCTGATCACTGCGAACAAACGTGCTGAAAGTGCCTTCATAAAAAACGCGATTTCTCAGTGTGTAATGACAGCAGAAAAAAATTCTAGCACCCCTCTAGGCAGAATTGGCCGGGAAAGTAATAAATTGACCTTTCATAAAACTTGAGGCCGTCTTCCGAAACGAAATAGCTAATAAACGGAACAAAACTATAGAACTGAGTTACCTCGGCCGTGGGATTGAACATGGCCCGTGAACTGACAGAGATATCTCGGACTGAGTGAGTTAAAAAACAATGTAGAAAAAAAAAGAAGAAAAAACCCCCACTGATTTTGGTTTAGTTTTAGTAGAGGTTTTACAGCGCTCGCAACTGCATAAGGTCATATGAGCGCTAGAAGATTAGAGGTGTTACAAGAGAGTAACAAAAATAAAAAAGAAGAAGGGAAGAAAAGGACGATATATGCTTCATAGGAAAGAAGAAGCAAACCACACAAAAGCACCCGCCAACCACCCACTACCACTGACTTTGACATTCAAAAGGAAAAACAATCATAACGAAAACAATGACTGTGACATATCCTGAGCAAAATATTTACAATTATTGGCAATCTGCAAGACCATTATCGACTATAACAATCTAAAGATTATAACAATCCGCCTATACATGCTACAATAATGGCCTCGACCATTAATCACAGTTTTGAGCAAATAAAAAAAAATGTCATGAAATGATATCTTAAAAAAACCCACAACTATACTGGATCCTTCTTTATAAAGTAAACCTTAACATCAAAGACAAGTGATTCTATTGGATGTATGCAACAGATGACAATGAAATATCACTTTTATGCCCCAGAAACCTCTTCCTTTTTTTTTGTTGTCATCATCGAGTCCTTCATGACAAATATTTTGCTAAATATTGAAAAGTATGGTATGGATTTGATGCTCAAATCAACTCTGTAAAGTTACATTTATATACGCTGTTGGACCTTTGATTTAATGTCCATCTCCGAAAGGACAAAGCCATGGGGGTGGAGAACTATAGAAAAACTCTTCAAATAGTGATGGTTAAGAAGTCCCATTAAAAATTTAACTCAGGGTTATGCGCATCATAGTCAACCACGGCATCGACTGAGTTAACAGTGCCCCCCTTTTTGTCAGGAACATACTAGGATACACAGATAAAAAGAAGCAGATCTCTTTAAAGTACATTATCAGTCACCGTCTCTTTCTCTTTACCAGACACAAAAGTCAAGGGCAACAACTCACTCTGACATAAGCTCATAAGCAGTGTCCAGCAGTACCATGTAAGCCCCGGTGACGATGGCATCAAAGTAACATGGCACCAGGAAACGTGGCACAAGCTTGAGATTTGCAAAGATGGCCTCAAACCACTTCCCCAGCTGAAAAGAAGAAACAATGTATACGCTTGCTTCAAATATGTAATCTACGAGAGGAGGTCAGATCCAACACTTAGTTTTCTCAGACAAAGAATAAACTGAGCGCCACCTTTCGTCCCTAGGAATCCAAATTGTGCTTAGTAGAGTCAAATTTGATCCTGTATTAAGTGAATTTTCATACGTAAGAAAACAAAGAAGCAGATATCAAGAATTGGCCTTTCCAGACAAATTTCTAAATTAATCCCGACCTTAAATAAAAGAAACTCTGGCAGCTAGCAATTAAGATTACCTTCTTGGACAAAGTTTATGGATACTTGATAGGCAAATCACACTGTCTTCCAGAACAAAGAAAGTCATACAAGCAAAAAAAAAAATCAGGAAAGAATAGAACCCCCCCCCCCCCCCCCCCCCCCCCAGATAACAAGTAAAAGAAGAGGATGATGAGAGGAGGATGAGGAAAAGACTAGAAAGAGGATAAGGAGAAGAAGAAGGAGGAGGAGGAGGAATACAAGGATGAGAAGTATTAGAACAAGGAGGAAGAGGAAGAGAAGGAGAAGGAGTAGAATGGGAAGGAAGAGGAGAAGAAGTAGTAGGGTTGTGAGAAAGAGAAGTAGTAAGACCAGGAGGAGGAAGAAGAGGAGGAAAAGTAGGAGTAGGAGGAAAAGGAGGAGAAAGAATAAGAAGGGGATGAAGAGGAGGAGAAGGAGAAAAAGTAGTAGGACTGGGAGGAAGAGGAGGAGAAGGAGGAGAAGTACTGGGAGGAAAAAAAGAAGGCAGAGAAGGAATAGATAGATAGATGGCATTTGTAAAGAACAAATTCCTGCTCAACAGCAAGCTCTGTGCGCTTTACAATCTATATTATTACCCCAGCAGACAAGTTAGCATTCTGAAACAATCTCAACTTCCTGGGAAGCATACAGTCTAACCACTGGACTACCGATGCCAAAATAGGATGGGGAGAAAGAAGAGAAGGACATAGAGGATGAGGAAGAAGATGAGAGGAGAATAACAAAGATGAAAAAGAGGAGGAAAAGATGTGAACAAAAGGTTGTGTTAGCGCGTCAATCTTACGTCTTCCAGAGTCTTGTGCTTCTTAAGTCTGTTCGCAGTATAGTCGGCTAGCCAGTCCCCATCTCGCAGATTCCCACACAGAGGGTGACCTAAGTCGTTCACTGGCCGAATGGATGCCAGCATCGAAAGGATACCTGCAAGGAGAGAAACAAAGGAAGATGTTTAGTGAGGTGATTTAGTGAGGTGTTTTAGTAACAAATTTTTATGGCACTTGCAACACAATTAGGTCTTCAAAATGCTGGAGAAGGTGTTACGAGAGAGTAACAAACACAAAAAAGGAGGGGAGAAAAGGGCGACAGATGTTTGATAGGACAGAAGGAGCAAACCAAACAAGAGAACCCGCCAACCACCCACAAGCAAAGGAAGATCAAATCAAACCAGTGTAAAAGCCCACACTCTATAGGCTTTTTATCAAATTTATGTTTACAGTGAGTGGGCACTATAACAGCTACATTTTCCCATGAATAGAACGGCTGAAGTTAAAAAGAGGTACCAGGATCACATCACACAAGCCACCTATATTTTTATATAGAGTGCACTTATTCCCCTTTACACATAACTTCAGCAAAGTAGGAAAACTGGCCAGACATAACCAGAATATCCAAAACCGTACTACATTAAAACTGCTTCCCCTTCTTCGTCACTGGGTATCCTTTCCATATCCGAAGTCGGCCTTAGTCTCAAACGCATCATTTCCTGATTTACTATTTTGACTGTATTTATGAATTTAATGTCTGACAAATGATAAAGGAGCCGTAAAATGAACATGGCTTTTATTAGATGTTTTTAGTCCCAGCTTAAACATACAAAGAAGTAAGTATTCTTTTACAATAAGTCTTGAAAGATATTCCAACAGCAAGACATCAAACATTCGAGATCAATTGTGCAACATGGATAAAGGAGAGGTGTGGAACACTTGGATTTCCACAGAAGTGATAAGTCATACAGAAACAGAAGCAATGTGCTGATTGTGTCTCAAGCAATCTGCATAAGCTACAAAAGAAAAACCTAAGTGACGCACATCACCCGCAACAGTGACAACATATGATAAAAACGAATCTAACCTCGGAGTCCGCAGTAAACCATATTGCCCGCGCCGGGAATGCTATAGGCTCCAAACCCATAGCAGTCGTCCCTTTCCTCCTGGTCAATGCGAAACAGACAGCGGTTCAGGTCAGCCAGCGACAAGCGGGACACGATGGCGCGGAAGTTGGAGGTGTCCCACGTGTCATCAAACATGGTGTTCCCGCTGTAGGAGCGCATCATATAGCCAAACTGACCCAGGCCCCGCCGGATGTCCAGGATTGCTCCCTTCGCCTGTTCAGGGAGGACACATCTGGGGAAACCAAAAGGGGGATAGAAAAAGGGAGGGGGGGGGGGGGGGGGCAAATGTCTCACACTGTGGAGTTCAAAGGAACTACTGATTTGAAGTGAGTGGCTGAGTACTTTACTTTAATTCTCTTCCCCTCTGCTCCCTTTACTTACTTTACGTTACTTTATTTTACTTTACTTTACTTCATTTTACTTTACTTACTTTACTTTATTTCACTTAACTTCTCTTCTCTTCACTTCACTTTGCTTTGCTTTGCTTTACTTTGCTCTACTTTAATTCTCTTCACTTTACTTAACTTTTCTGATTCAGTGGCTATTTGAGTTCGAGCCCTTCTGCTTAATTGAGATACGGAGTAAAATAACTTCCCAAAATGGGAATCCAACTCCCATCTTCTCCATTCAATGGCCAAGAGTCTGACCATTAATCACAGATGCTAGTCACAAAAAACAACTTGAGACAAAGGTAAAATTGAGAAAGCAAGAAAGAGCAGACTGCACCAACTGCCAACCAAATATTCAACGTTATAATAATCTAAAGAGGCATGTAAACACACCCATATCAGTCACAGTCACAAGAAAAAAGAGTAACTCCCAACTTCCTTATTTACCCTGCAAACAAGGTCAAATGGTGTTGCTCACTTTTCTAGCATCAAGGATGGCAGATATTTAGAACAAAGCAATAAAAAACCCCAAACAAAATTGACAAAAAAAAAGAGGATGCAACAGTCACACATTTCAACTCACTTCATGTAACATGAACACAACACAAAATAAGTTCTGAAAGCACTTTACAGACTATCCAGTAACCAGCAGCCCACAAAAAAGCCTTAAGAACTCTGCAGGTAAAAGAATTCTTTTTTCTTCTCATTCTGACTATACCTGAAAGCAATGACACTGCCCGGGGTCAGGCTACGGAAGGAGATTTCTGTCTCCCCGTTCTGCAAGATCCGGGTCAGGACCATTTCACTCTCATGGACAGGGAAGTTCTCCCGGAGTTTCAGGTAATATTCTGGTAGTCCATTGATGTAATCCGGATCTTGTTTATAGGTGAACTGAGGTGATTTCCTCACTTTTCCTTCCAAGATCACTTCATTGATAACGCCTGAGGGGGGACAAGAATGTGGGTAGATAAGAAAGTAAGAATCACACAGAACTGATACCCCTGCAAAACCTGTATCAACATGTAAGATGTGAGCCTTCCCGATTTGACATCTGTCTCCAATTGTCAAGTGGTTTGAGAGCTTTGAAAATTCCCTAAACAAACCAAGCTCAAGAATGCCCCTGTTTATGCGGCACTTGCAACACAATTAGGTAATATAAGAGCCAAAGATTAGAGGTGTCACAAGAGAGTAATAAACACAAAAAAAAAGAAAGGAGAGATACTGACAATTGGTGTTTGATAGGAAAGGATGAAGTTGATCCAGAGTCATCTGTGCTATAGTATTAGTATAACATGATTCCAATTGAGCTTTCGGCCCCATAATCCAAATGGCAAAAATACCAAGGATTTGCATTCAAGAGATTGATTGTGCATGTTCTAAACTCCCATTGATAGATAAAATTTCCATCTTTTAAGACGCAGAATATTTTGACCCTGCCAGTCAAATATTACCAGGAATCTGCCAGATACATCCCAGCAGAAAGATGTAGATAATCCAAAATAAGCCTTCCCCCACATGGGAACCAGATTAACATCCTCCTAAGTGCAAAGTGAAAAGCTTGATCATTATACCGTGGCTTATGATAAAGACAGAGTATACACTTAACATTGATAACAAGTACAAGGAGCACACTACAATAGAGCATCCACCAACCATAATGTCTAAAGAAATGACAGATAGAAATACATTAAAAAAGAAGAAAATCAAATTTATAGACCGAAAAGACAGACAGACTGCAGGTAGAAAGACACAGCCCTTCACGACGGATAAACAAAAACATAGGTAGGCAGAGATGATAAACAGAAAGCGACAACTTCAATAAACAGCATGACACGCACCCTGCACTGTGATTGGCCGGATGTGACCCTGGTCATCTGGGTTCCCAGGGTAGGAGAAGGCAGTGCGAGCTACCAGCACCACAGACTCGTGTGTCAAGGGGTTGTGTCGTGTCACTGACACCGTGTCCCCGTCCACTTGGTCCACATACACCTGAAACCAGAACCCCATAAACCACATGACTGGACCGCAATAATCCGTCAAAGACTCTATTCTTCGATGCATTGTTTGCTTTTCTAGATCTCAAGGGTAGTCAACTGCACGTACTTCAACCTGCGGTGCAACTGATTTTTACGAATGTGATCGTTTTTCCTACTGTGTAAGGCCCCTCGCATTCACGTTTAAAGCAGCCACATTCTAATTTTGAAGAACTTTTTTTTTATACTGACTGGAGTATTTTTAGTTCTTGGTAGGAATTAATTCATGATTTTTCCCCCTGTGGCTGCCAAAGCCTACTTTTGTCGAATATAGGATCATCGAGTGATCTTAAATGTGCACAACTTGCACAAGGGACCTCAGAGGTTTTTTGCCCCTTTTCAAGAAAGGTTGATTTTCAATCTTACCTACCCTACAATTAGGAGTAAGGCTGAAAGACTGCAGTGAGAAGAAGCCTGGAGTAGCAGTAGGAAGTGTCAGAAGTAAGGGAGAGAGGAGCAGAGAGGGGACCAGGGGTGGGGAGGAGGGTGAGAGAGCGGAAAGGAAAGCAGATGACAAAACAGGACTAGACAAGAAGAAAGGAGGACAAAGAAAACAATTTTTAAGAAGGAAATGTCTGCCAGGAATCTTTTGACTGCATAAAAAACACTTAAGACAAAGTCATTTCAACAATTGTAGAACAATTTATGAATCTTACATTTTGAACAGTTTCAGTTAAATGTGAAGAGATTGTTTTACAGTCAGACATCCCTATCAACCAAAGAAAAAAATGAGACACTCAATCAAATTAATTTCCCAGGGCAAGAGTTGGGAACTCACATCTTTTGAATGCTAAGCCAGACACAGACACTGACCTGTGAGAAGCCCTGTTTGGCCAGGGTGTAATGTAGACGGTTCAGGCTACGCTTGCCCGCACTGATGCCAAAGTTGGCGTTGATGTACTGACGTTCTGGCATCTCCTTCTCCAGCCATGAAGTATACAGCCTCTTCTCTGTGACCACATTGATCTAGTTAGAGGAGTTCAAACATTTTTATCTCGAGATTGACATGAGCTAAAGGAACATTTTAAAGTTGACTTGAGCTAAAAGATGAATTGCCAAATTTTAAAAGATATTTTTTTTTACCTCAACCTGACAGGAAGAGATGTTGATAATAACAACAGTACAGATTTTATGCAGATTGTGGTTAGTCGAAAGGGAAAGAAATTAAGACAAATCCACTTTTCAAAGGTATCTCAAGAGGCCTGTGAACTGTACCTGAGCACCCACCAGCCAACCTATCATTTTGAGGTGGACACACATTTATTGAATAACTGAGCAAATACACAAAGGATAGTATACTTGTTCACCCTTACAGATCTAGACTACAGCAGAGCTTAGGGTTGGCAATCACTGACAGTTAGTTCTAAGCTTTCTGGCATCAAAATGTATGTAAGTTTATGTAACCCCTTTCAAAAGTCTTGCAACTTGAATTCCATCCACCTCTAGGTAGAGCAGCCAGCACTGCTGGAATCAGGAGGGCGAGCTCTAAAACATATTTAAAACGATTGCTTCTTTACAGTGCCTAGGTCTTTAACTCTTTTCACACCTTGCTTTATCCCGCTGAGTCGGATTTGTTATAGTACTTATAGTCAGTTCATTTTCTTGTGTCTATGCTTACACTGCAATATCTCAATTATCTCTTGACTAAATGCACCACGAATTTGCATATAATATGTTTGAAATGCTTTAGACGTTCAGGAATATTTTTTGTCCTATTAAAATTGAAGCTGTAATTGATATTACCACGTTGATTATGGTATAAAAAAAAAGAGACACTGCTTAAAAACACGCAATTTAGAATGGTTTATACTACAGTGGTCATTGTGCTAAAGAGCAATGATAAGTTCACACTAGTGCTCACATTTTCTTCATGCCACATGCTTTTTCCATACTCTCAAATCCGTCCAAAATGTGGTTAAAAAACTTCAAAGACTAACTGCTTTCACTATTGTGAAATTGAATTTTGAAATCTTGAATCGTTTGATAATCTAAATAGATTTAAGGAATTCACCGCTTTGAATAAACTGTTTAAGGTGCAGACTGAAAGACATGTAAATAAAAAATGTCAGTCAAAATATAAGACTGTGTGCAAAAAAAGGAGGGCAATACAACCGACAAGTTTTATTGTTTAAAACATTTTTTACAAAGAAAATTGCAAGAAACTGCTGCACAAGAAAGTAAACTGACTGTAGACACATGATGCCAGCGCACTAGTGCATAGAAAAAGAAAAGAGTTCGACAATAAACGTCGAAACAGAGTTGGAACTTACATGAATGGGTACCATCTGATCAAAACCACGGTTACTTCCTACAGCACAGTTTGAGATGGTCACCAGGCCGGCCGTGGGCCAAATGTCATAGGCCGACCTCTTCTGGATGGGGCACTCATTGTCATGGGTCTGGTCGTAGAAGAGGGCATGGGCCATGCTGGGCACCAGAGGGCGCACTCGAGGCTGGACGAAAGCACCTACCGGCTGCCCACCAAACCGGTGTACCAGACGACCTTCTTCATTAGAGTTCCATGCCACAAGAGACTCTGAAGGGAAGAACCAGGAAGGTATTTCATGACATCTGCTCAGAGAAAAGACTCATTAACTCGATCCGTACATCGAGTTTTACTATCCTATCCATAACGTGGGAAACTCTGTGCCCCCACTTTCCAAAGAGGAAATTTACTCGTTAATCCGATCCGTACGCTTTGCATAGCAGCCTGTCAAAATGATTTTTTTGCGAAATACTGAAAGTTTCAAAGAGATCTACGTACTAGAAGTATTCTAAAATGTGAAGAATACAACCCCCTGGGGTACAAAATGACCCCAGGCGTATGGATAGGGTTAAATGTGTCACTGCTCTCGGTAAAATTACATCACATAGAGAAATCAAGTTACTGTAAGAAATCCAGAGATTACTCAACAACAAAAAAACTGCAACTTTTTTGTGTGTCATCCTTATCCTAAAAAATCTGTTTACATTGGTTGAACATGTATGACACACCTGTCCTATGAGGGCACTGGTAATAAAACCCCTCAATTGTTTTCTCAAAGATACAACTTTCAATCCCTTTCATTTGCCTCACAAACATTCAAACATTCTAGAATAGGGTAAAACATAAAAAAAAAAATTCAAACTCAAATGTTACATACTTGTTGTAGATAATCTCCTAATACTATATGTCCTAACAGAGAAAATCCTATACCCCCGGGGCGGTGCCACAGACTGAAGTGTCTTTAGGCAATTCCCATAGGGGGGACATTTCTCGATCATGCACAGTAGAATTGTAAATGGGCTGATTCATCAATGTCACGCTCATAACTGTGCCTGATCTATAACAGGGAACTGCTGCTTTTTCTTTCCTAATCCTTACTATTGTCATTTTTCCTCTACTTCTTTTGTATGTTTGTCACACTCTTGTGACCCAATATTTCCGGGATGCCTTGATAGTCGAAGAAGACTTTGTGCTGTTGAAGATAGAGAGGTGAGCAGAGAAAGTCGGATTCCCTGTAAGGATTTCTCTGTTGACATCCACCCCTTGGCGCTCATATGACCTTATGCAGTTGCGAGCCCCGTAAAACCTCTACTAAAACTAAAGAGAAAATCCTAATCAATTAAGACGCCTGTTGCTTTTACCTCGCCTACCAGAACTAACTCAGGCTGGGAGGGATTCATCCAAGTAAAAGATGCTGGCATTTGAACCCCCCCCCCCTGCCATTAAGAAATCCAACTCATAGTCGCGTGTGCAAAACACAGACCCTCGCCAATAAATCCTAGATGGTTGCGGGAAAGCTAAAGCTCAAACAAAAGGAAAGAGAAGTCCTACCTCTGATGAGGGAGTTGATTCCCAGTCGGTTCATGAACAGATTATCGAGGTCCTCACTTCCTGTGAAAAGCTCGGCAATCACATACAAATCTGGTCGTACCTTGCGGGCAATTTCCAGCATGTACTGGGGACACACACAAGCAAAAGTTGCCATCAGGAACAAAAGAAACATGAAAATCAAATGTAAATATCGGGGCTGTCTGAACGGTAAGATCAAAATGGGCCATTGAACGAACAATTTTACATGCATTGGACTGAAACTTCCACATTAAAAAGCAACACCATTCAACTGCTTCTCAACATACCCTTTATGAAGACTGATGCAATTTTTACAGTGACATTATTAGAAAAAAATTCTGATCAAGAGAATGCATCTAGTCACATAGCTCTTAGATATGATCATTGTCTTCTGTGAACCTCTTTCCTGCTAAGCGTTGCTTTACGAGCCCTAAAAGATAAGTCTGATGAAGCAGGCTCCGGAGTATGTGGAGGATGGAATAATTCCTCCAGCTTTGTCTGTGTACATTGAATTGGTATAGCATGGTTGAAAACCCCACTCAACACAGAAAGGTTATTTCAGAAGCACGACCTTCAAACTGAAAGCCAGACCTGCCACTCTATGAAATCTAAAAATCAGGACTTTAGAGTATAAAAAATCAGGATCTGGTGAAAAAAATCGGGATCAACGGCAAATCAGTGATAAGGGGCACTGGGTATGGGGGTGGGGGGGTGGGGAGGGGGTGTCCTGGTTCCCTTTTATGAGGCAAGTACGCAAGACAAAACTTTCGCAGGAATAAGTTCACGTTTGGGCCTCTAAATAGAGAGAAAACTGAAAGACAGCAAATGTACTCGGAGTTGGATAGACTGGGGGAGCGCAGGTTGCAGTCATGCTGAAACTCTTGTAGTCTTGAAAATAGCTGGCACATAACTCTAATCATCCATGCAAAAAGCCTGCGTTTTCATACAGTAACAACGTTTGACTTCCATCCCATAATATACACTCAAGGCACCCCCCACACCCCCCCCCCCCCCACAAAAAAAAGAAAAGATCGCGCCAAGGTTGTTCATTTATTTATTTTTTTCTTATTCCTTTCCTCTCAATTAGTAGCTGTATCATGGCACACACTTTAAGCCCCCCCCAAGTGAAAAAAATACCCCTCGCCCTCCCCCAGTCGTCCACACTGGTTAAGTTCCGAAAAACACCTCAACCGGTGTGAATGAACTTTGTTGACCTCCATAACCAACGGTCCCCGACACACGCACTACTCACACGTACGAGGTCAGCTAGGTCATGTGATGCGAATAAGTGTTAGAAAATTTCACTGACAGGTCTTGATAAAGGAGCCCGACTAACCAGCACTCAGACGAAGCTTGCTTTTAAAGCAACGGCAGAACAACGAATAGATTATTCTTAGGCCCATGTCATAATTGTCAGTAATCAGGACACCATCGGAGAATTCTGGGTTATAAAAGCGAAAGAAGATCTTGAGCGTATCCAAGTCTGAATTCAAAATTAATACTATGTCGATTTTAGTTAAAATAACGTGCGAGTGTCATCTACTAGATTCGGCAGAGATGCTTTAGAAAATAGCGTTCCAAGTTCCTGCCAATAAAAAGTTCAATCTGTGCTTCCAAGCAAAAGAGATTACAGAACTTCTTATGCTTTTTCTAAGAATCAGATGCAACAGACGCAACGACAAAAAAATCAGGATACTGGCGATAGAAATCGGGAAAATCGGGATTTGGGGCAAAAAATCGGGATGTCCCGATTAAATTGGGATGAGTGGCAGGTCTGTGAAAGCCCAACTCTCAAGACAAAGGAAAGCCTTGAAAACCCGAACAACCAATCATAATATTCACCTGAACAAAGAACAAACTGACGGAACTCATAAGAAACAGTTTCCAGATTTAAGCATTAAGTTTTATAAGAACTATAAAACAAACTACCTACAAAATCTAGCCAATGCCCCCTCACAGAACCCAAACTTCTGCTTTACGTACAGGATTGTCAAACCAAACCCTCACCTCGGCCACATGGATGGGTGTGCTGTGGCAGTTGTCCAGCCGTAGACCCTGGAAAATACGGGCCGACACCTTGGTGTACTCCGCCATTAGATCCCAGAGGTATGGGCAGTCATCTCGTGACTCGCCATAGTTTAGTTTGACGCTGTCTCCCCACGCCATCAGCTCTCGGCGTAGGTATACATAGCGACCTGAGAATAAAATGATATATGTACACATAGCCACCCGATTAAGAAATCAATTTAGGTTCACATAATGATTTGGGAATTAAGTGACATATATACCCATAGTGACCTTGGAATAAGTGACATGTACACACTGCAATCTGGGAATTAAGCGATATAGTAAACATAGTGACCTGAGATTAGAACAAAATACAGTCGAACCTGCCCTGACGGCCACCTCTATAAGACGACCACCTGTACAAACGGCCACTTTCCATTTCCCCCCTTGCGTTTTTTCTATATAATTTAACTGTGTAAAACGGGCACCTGTCCAACGCGGCCACCATATTTTAACACACAACCCCTATCACACTAAGCGCAATAACACCTGTCTTAGACGGCCATTTTAGTGACTCCATTACGTTTTGGCATAAATTGTGCACTGGCCCCTGGCAATATGGGCGAACTGTCATTATTCAATCACCTGTCGTTGTTGTTAGGTAGTCCCTCCAGCCGATCTTGTTGGGTAGGCCCCTCCCACTGTTGACCAATAGGTACCAATTTTCAGCTGCTGGTGAGGTAAGCATGTGATCCCTCATAACCCATAAGCCCCGCCCAGAACTCATACACAAATCGTAAGTGAGAGGAGTGGTCACTGTTTACCCAGTCTGTAACAAAGAAACAATGGACGTCAACATGAACGCGTCACTCGTTCTCCGAGTGGTGGCGACCCATGTGTTTGTTTTAACATGATACTCGGTCTTCCTCGTCTGATACATTTCGTTTTTTTGTCACTCTTGCGCAAAATCAGCAACGAAATAAAAATAACAAACAAAATACAAACCAACAACAACAAAAACAAGAAACAATGCGGCAACTTTCGATTGGGACTTCAGATGGGAATGGTTTGTTTTCTTCATCTTGATCAGTCCTGCCTAAGACGGCCACCTGTCTTATACGGCCACTTTTCTCCTTGACAATGGGTGGCTGTCTTACACAGGTTTGACTGTATACCAAGTTGCAAAAGTTCTGTCACACCCATTATATAACGATAATTTTCGGTATAGCGTAAGAATTGTAGTAAAAGTTAAAAGTATGACTAGTGGGATTTATGAGACTTCTTGTGCAAGAGCAGACCAAAGAAATCATAAACCGGAAGAAGTACGTGGACAAAGTGTTGGTATTGATTTCTCTAGGTCTGTGTTGAAGTCAACGCTTCCTACACACAAAATTTGCTTTGAATCACGTAGACGATGTGTAAACACACCTTACACACTATAAAATTTCATACTTTTTAACCGTTGGGTACCTTTTCCTGCTGTTTTCAAAATTTAAAAAATGATAAATTCAGATAATAAAGGGGCTGTATGTATGATACATTCTTTAATTGCGCTTTCTGCTGTTGCAAGACTCGTAAATGTTTACAGAAGTACCATCTAACGCTTGAACAAACGTTTAACACCACTAAAACTGGTCACGACAAGCCGAGACGTAGCCAACCAAGGGCGACAACTCGACATCAGAATTGGTTTATTGTCAACACCCATATTGAAAACCCATTCCAACTTAGTGCAGAGACTGCCAGTCACTTCGGGCAGTCTTGAAAAATCATTATTAGACATTCATAAGATCTTCGATTACGTGATTATCGCCCTTTATATGGAGCCATTCTAACACTGTTTCACAGAAGAAATCGCAAAATGTTGGCACAACAACATTGTCGATGAAACTAAAGACGTTGGTTAAGTGTTCTTTTCAGCAATGGTTAAGGTTTTTAATTCGTCGCATTGATGGAAGAGAAAAAGTGTTCAAGAAAGAAGAGAATAGAAATTTCACAAATCCGATGTCCCCCAAAAGGGCCGAAGGTGGCTGAAATGTGATGGTAGGGGGTGGAATCTCTACTTCTTATCGTATACATTTAGTTACTTTTCTAAGCAACCTCAAATAATGACATTATTGTGACGAAATTCTTCGCCACGGTGACTACGCTAAATGGCACGGATGATGGAATCTGGTAACAAGACAACACCCGACCACAAATGGCTACTATCAATGAAAACTTCTTCCAAACACATCAAATCGTCATTCTGGACTGGTCTGCAAGATCCACAAGCCTTAACCCAACAGAACATCTGTAAGATGACCTTGGCTGGAGGATTAGAAACAGGCCGCACTCCGTACAAACTTGTAAGGAACTGAAGGCTGCACTACACAAGGAATGGCAGGAGATTCTTCAGACAGCTATAAGGACTTCAATTCAGTCAATGAACAGATGTTTTGTATCAGTAACTCAAGCTGGAAGAGGCCACACCCCATACTGAGCAAACTTCGATTTGGATTTTGCAAGAGTCAGTGTGAATAAAATTATCTTCCTTGAATAAGGAAAGACAGTTGTCCATTCTTTTTATGTCATGTTGGCAGAAAATGAATAAAGATCTCGTGCACAAAATGTCTCTTGGCTATGTTGAGTAGTAAATGAGTTATTGTACTTTTAAGGTGGGTGTGACAGAACTTTTGCAACTCGGTATATAAGCAAATACCAACGAAAGGTGTAAAAATGCAGATAAGCTGGTAAAGCAATATGTACACACAGTTATCCAGAGAGAGATAGATGGGTCAGCATATGAAACAATAACAGAAGAGAAACAGAAGGAGCAGGAGGGGGAGAAGAAGGAGAAGGAAGAGGATTTCTTTATTTGTTTTGACACAACCATGGTCATTTAGCGCTGGGGAAAAGTAAGACAGACAGACAGAAACATCAGAGGGAAAGCAAAAAAGTAGGACCTACCAGTGGTGCCCTCCAACCACCTGCGAAGGAAGAGGAGGAAAACGAAGAAAAGACACATAGAAAGCACCAAAGAGTACAAACAACAAAGCCGTCCTACCGGGCGCTGCGAAGTTCCTCAGCGGGTCATCTCCCATAACCCATCCATTGACGGCCATTATGTGCTCTCCATCTTCAAAGGACATCAACTCCTCTTTCTCCACGCTGCCTTCATGACTCTTCGGGATAACAAAGTAGCTGGAAAAGAATTGCAAGTCCAGTGTGTCCTTTACAAATGATAAAAATTAGTACCTGATACTATGAACAGCTGAGAAGTTTGATTTTGAGAAATACTTAACATTCCTTAAAGTAAAACTAATATATATGAACAATAAAAGAAATAAAGCCACAACAAATAATGTCTGCTCTGTGTAAGATTCCATGACATGTCACTTTTCAAAATGGTGTATGGCGGAGCCTTACGCTAAGAAGTCAATAAACACTACTTACTGTACATCATACCTTTGCCACAATAACCACTATCATCATCCTCATCATAACAGTAAGGAATAAAAAGGGTTGAGACTTGTAGAATTTCCTGAAAATGTTTATAAAAGTACAACGTTTCGCCTGATCAAGGGCTTCATCAGGAACAATAATGTTAGATCTAAAGACTACAATAGCTATAGTAACCAAAGTGCGTGCATCTACGTCACAATCCTCATCATAACAGTGATGTGCAAAATCCACTGAAAGTTAAAAACCCCTTCCTTGAGTATATTTCTCCATCATTATTAAAGTTGAAACCCAAAACAAACGCAGTTATCATATTTCAGATGTGTTTGGGTTTAAAAATGACACACTGCTATTATTAAAGTTTAATCCAAACCTTGACGTCCATTTCCTCACAACAGAGCTTTTACTATAAAAGTAAACTTTAATAAGCTCCCATTCTTAATATTTCCCAAATACAATATCACCAAAAGATCTTGGGACAAAAAAAAGGGACCCATTTCGAAAGACATTTTAACTCAATGAGTCACAAAGACCACGATTCACAATTCCCACAACACAAAGCAGTGAAATCACGTCCTCACCCAAACATGAGAGGCTCGTCTGGGATGACCTGTGGAATCTTGGGGCCCTCGGGGGTGATAAACCTCCAGCGAGCATTTGCCACAAAGTTGGAAATGGCGGCATCAATGTGGCCTTGGATCTCATGCTCCTTGGCTGCGTTCAAGGTGACCAGTTCCGCCGTCAGAGCCTCACAGCACTTGTTGATGCGGTCAGTGCGAGAAAATGAGCCTGGCCTGTAACACATTCATTAAAAAGAATGCACTGCTATTCAAATTCTAAAACAACTAAAAACCTATCAATCGCTATCACACTATCGTCATCTGACGGAGGCTGAAGACATTTATTTCTCTTTGGAGACCAATAATCAGATGCATCTCACTACCATCCCAAACTTCCACAGTCTTGAATGCTAATCAGTCAGGAACACTAAAATTTGAAAACAACTTTACAAAAACACTATGTTCAACTGATACGCACATGGATGACAAGTCCCAAACACTCACAAAAATCAATGAATAAAACAACTACTGAAAAGTAATTCAATTTTTTTACACAATCTAGTGTTACATCCATGAGAAAATTAATAATCAAATTGAGTTGTAAAAAAACTCCAAACATACAACTATCCATTGTTGACACAAACAAGAACCTTATTTTACTTGACAAGATAATTTTTTAATTCTTTATAATTCACATAAAAATAGCAATGATAGATGATCTCAAGTGCTCTAACACAATCAAGTCTCAAACCTTTCCTCATCTGTGAATATATAAAGCATAGCTCATCTTCAGCTTTCTGCGTGCATACCTGTACACTATAAACATTAACACCGAGAAAAATATCAAACAATAAATAAAAGTAAATTTCATTGGCTCAACATGCAATCTGTCAACTTAAAAAATACAAATGTGTCTATTTTGTGGTCTCCTGTCAAACGAACCATAACCATCTTCCATTCAGAAGAAGGAAACATTCTGACAAAGAAAAAAGCTTTAACTGAACTCCAAACAGTAATAATCAGTATATAATATGTCAATTTTGAAAGTGGAATCCATGCAACTACTTTACAATGACAGCTCTAAAAATGCTAATGAGAACACAAGAATATGGACAAAATTATCAGTTAGTTAAAACGCTTTTTCACCTTTGTAAATTTAAAGTTGTTGTGGGAGCAGATTGCATGCCAAACCAATGAGCAATCAGATTACTACATTTACATCAGTGTGCAACTATTCAAGCGGAGAATTGAGGGTGTGAGTCTACAATGGTGTGAGAAACATGTAGGAAGAATTCACAAATGGACTGGGACGATGGACATGGGTGTGTAAAGTACAGTGGTGCGGAGGGTACTGGTGATAGGTCTGTTTTCCTCGGACAAAATGGTTCTTAAGTTGGGACATGAGAGAGAGAGAGAGAGGAGGGGGGGGGGAGAGAGAGAGAGAGAGAGAGAGAGAGAGAGAGAGAGAGAGAGAGAGAGAGAGAGAGAAAGAGAGAGAGAGAGAGAGAGAGAGAGAGAGAGAGAGAGAGAGAGAGAGAGAAGAGATAAATAAATAGACAGACAAACAGACAGAAACAAGGAGAAAAAGAGACGGAGAGAAAGAGAGAAATCTTGCCTGAGAGCATACACAAAAGCATATAATATGTGCGAGACTAATGAGAGAGAGAAAAGAGAAGTAAACAGATCAGTGTGCATATATATATGGACAAAGTAACTGTTGGACTTGTAGAGAGGAAACAGTGATGTTGAGAGTATGAGCAGCCCTCACTACAAGTAGGTGTTCAGCCCTTCACATTTCAGAAGCACCTACTGGAGCACATGATTCGTGTAAAACAACCAGACTACTCCATCGCTCACAACAAAAAGCTGAACTATCTCCCTCTAACAGCAATGAATGGCCACACCCAGGCTTGAGAGCAATTTGTTTTCAATTATACTACTGTATACATCGCACATAAAGAGATATTTTGACTTGAATCGTTTCATCATTTTATTCTACAAACATCAAAACAGCCAGGTGCTGTGTAAACAATCCAAACAGAGACCTGCGGTTTAGATCGAACAGTCACAGACTTGTAAACTATCTGTTCAGTTGGCACCAAGTCTTTCCAGTTGGTCAACTGATGCATTCTCTGTGATGATGTCAGTGGAGAATTCCCTGCTTCGTGTCAATTAATTAGTAAAAAAAAAAAGTTCTTATGACTCTGATCACACAATTGAGATAATCTTAGAGGCAGGCTGCTTTATACCCGCCAGTTGAACACCAAACCTAGCACAATGAAATACATTCGAACAGAAAAACGATGCCAAAAAACATGTCTTTCTCACGTGGGAAAGGGAACGTAGAGCACATTATACACCAAGGCATTTACTGCAGACGACTGATGAGAAAGCATGTATGGCAGTTCCACTGGAATCTAAGATGTGCGGTTAGCTCAGTCGGTATCAAGCTGGTCTACCATTACAACGACAAGGACAATACTGGTACAAATGTCCAAAGAGGTATTTGTCACATTCAGTCATCTATTGAAGTTTCCAAGACTCTCTGCTCACTTGGCTCGACCTTATCAATCTAGGCACTAAATTCTGACTTTAATTTCAGACACTACAGAAGTATTAGAAAAAGCAGTACATCGTCATGGTGATACACCAGTTCTATGAGAAAAGAAAGCCTTAAAAATTACCAACCCTGAGAGCAAACAATTAACTTAGGTGGACATGAATGAAGGAAAATACACATTACTAACACCAAATAAACTTGTAAAAGAGAGACCATGAAAGAGAAACAAGACTGGAAAAAATTATTGTAACCAGTCAATTACCTCAAACAAAAACAAACATAAGGATACAATAATAACCGATTTGAACACAAGGGGGCACGACATAACTATTCAGCTGAAAGAAAGGGAAACATTCGCTGCAAGTAAAGAATATGCCCATTCCTGAGAATCCTTTTGTTTTTCTGTACAAAGAAGATGATATGGGAGGCGCAAAAGGAAAATCAGTATGAGATCTGGGAACTAAGACGGGGTCGAATATGGTGGAAAAAAAAAAGATTTTAGATGAAAAAATAAATTCTATGCATTGTGAAAAACTTCAACCTTACTTATATGTTCCGAAAAAAAAATACCTGAAAAACAATTTGAAATGTGTCTTTGGATCAACAGGTTGACTTCTTAAATGTTTATATATCAGCTTCTAATCACTGTATTTCAAATCAGTAAGTGCCTATTTACTCAGAAAACAATGCACCCTCTGAAAATGCGATTAGTCCATAAAGCTATTTTTGCAATGTGCTTCTGATTTTCCCATGGCGCCTCACATATGAGAATTACCAATGAAGACACATGAAAGAGAAATAAATCCAAACTACATCTGGTGTTATTTGCACATCAGCAAAGGCTGCATCATTGTTATCATCATCATTATCATCCTCCTAATTATTGGAGAAACGAAGCTGAACAGTTGTTCCAAGCAATGGTAAAATAATTAAAAAACACTCACAAACGAAAACATAATTTTCAGCATCATTATCTCCATCACCACCATCATCATAATGACAATGTTGTTCTCTGTAACAGTCTTTGAAATCCTAAATACTGTCACTGTCAATTCAATCTTTACTTTGTATTTTCTAAGCAGCCCTTAATTTTTAAAAAAAGTAGGAGTAACAACTATACTTTGTTAAATTCACAGAGAACAAATCCACTTACTTCACAGAGCACAAAAAAATAACAAAACAAGAAAGACTACATTTAATTCATAGCCCCCCACCCCCCAACAAAATAATTTTTTTAAAAGAACAAAAATTACACTCAATTCATAACTCATGGGGTATGAAAAACTCAAAACAGCAAATCATTTTCCATGGGTTTTAAACAAGTTGCAAAAAAAATTACAAAATTTTTTAAAAATAAGGCTCTGAAGTTCACAATAACAACACTGAACAGTGTAACAATAGCAGCTGTGAACTAGACCAGCAAACACAATGCAACAAGCAGAAGGCCGTAAGCAGTAATGAAATAAAACTGGTGGAAACTACTACAGGCGATGATGCCTAAATACATCAAGAGGCTTTACCCTGCATCTCCGAACACTCTGAAAGGTTCACAGAAAAATTATTCTTCTCTTTGCAGATCATGAGGATAAACTGATATTTAAAAAAATACTTCTGGCCATTGTTGGGCAGAACTGAGTTTGGGCACTTATCGTTTCATTCACATGGGGGAAGGGGAGGGGGGAAATGCAAACACAAATATTATACACTTTGATTGTCAGAATGACTGTGCCACTGGAGGAAAAAAAAGGAGACAACATGAGGGCAGAACACAAATATAAAAAAACTTCTCTGACTTCTAGCCTTGGGATTTTGTTCAAACTTAACACTTAACACTTGCTATACTCAAACTAGTCAATTTGAAAAATGAGCACTTTGATGAATCAGTTGAGTAAAGAAAAAGAAAGGAAGTCAAAGAAGGAATAGATAATTCAACAAGGAAAATATAAGACATAACCATCAGAGCTCAGATGTTAAAAAAAGTACTACCCTAGTTATTTAGCAAGTTTTGACCTCCTGCAGCTGTGCACTGGTTCTATGTATTGTAATTCCACACGGAATGGTGAAGGACATCTATTGTTTAACCAGAACTTATACATAATGACAGATATCGAAGAGATGCTAAATAAAATTGATTTAGCATGATTAATAATAAAGCTGTGTTTACTGTCACTGTTGAGTGAGAGGGAGCAACTCTATCATAACCATGATAAATTAAATAATATAAGTACTGCCCGGTATTCCAGTGAGCACTTGAAAAATGTGTCAGCTTATTCCAGTAACACAGGTGCTAGGTAGTCACTGTTTAGTAAATGGTTCGGACACAGGGTACTTCCTGTCATTAGACAGACTTATCACGACTGCTATGACTGACAGTTGCGACCAAAAGTAGTTAAACGACAAAAATAACCCCCCTCCCCCAAGTATTTTGAGCAGCGAAATAAAAATTATGTTTTCTGGTAAGTCTTTTTGTTAAGCAGAAATTGGCACTGACAACAGCCCAGCTTTGTGGTCTGGTGTTCCAGAATTTTTATCTCAGAAGCAAAACAAAGTTCTGTCATCAGGATCACTGGCGCGGGCAGAGACAACGATAATAACAACATGAACAGCCACTCACCAGCTAGAGGCCATATTTGTCTAGATGAAATGCCACAACACACAGACACATTAGTCACACTGAAAAACCACATCTATCAATGGTCAAACAAACTGTTCAGTTTCGACTTACTGGTCAGTGTTGAACAGCTTAAGGGCCACTTTCATGTCAATCGTGGATCTAAACCGACGGAACTGCGGATCTTGCTTGATGCTCAAACGGGTTTCATCACTCAAGAGACCCCCATTCACATTACCTGTGGAAGAAAATGTTACAAGCAATTATCCTCCTAATTTGAAATTCTGTAAGAGACAATAACAGTCCATTACAGAGACTTATTTTACCTGGCGTGCAGCTGGAGTTACAATCAAAATCCAAGAGACAACTTTGGCATAAGATAGCGTTACCAGTCATTAATCAAATTTTGGGTCATGTTTTAGGAAGTGTTATTCATAAATAAAAGCTGAAGATTGTATATACAATTCGTTAAGCTAAAAAAATGGCAACTAAATATCTAAAACAAAATCTTCCCCTGAAACCTGACAGAAATGGAAGGCATATTTTGCAATAAATAAAAAAAGTAAATTAGAATGTCTTCATGCTAGAGAGCATGACAAATACCACATTTCACAAGGAAGAAAAAAATGGAACTAAAAAGATGCAGAAAAAGAAGAAGAAGGAAAAACATACCCTCAAGTGTCCACCAACCATTCAGGCAAGGCACACACACGAATCAATGAAATAACAGAGAAAAGGATCATGCCTAGAGCCCAGATATAAACAGAAATCTCTGCTCACTTTCCACAGCTTTCCTAAACTCCTTCAGGATGCCGTCCACTCCGACACAGAAGTACTCATGTAGTCGGTACTTGGAAAACACCTTGCTGTGCAATACACGGTGGATGTTCTGAAAGGAAAAACATTTTTAAAAGGTGAAGGCAGTGCAGTATTTCGTAAGCTTATGTATAGTTGAGGGAAGGCAAGCCTTCATCCCATTTAACAACAGCAAAGATGTCACAAGTGCTGTTACGCCAAGAGTAAGGTACAGCCCCCAACCTTTTGCACACAAATTCCCATTTTTCTTTCTGCATTTTCAATTTCATTTGAGATAGTTAAACATTCACCTCACTGTTCTATCTACAGGTAAAAGGGATAGTCTGTTCTGAACTTTCGTCGCGGTCATCAACTTGTCAGGGTAAATCCATGATTAGCGGAATACAGTATTTCATTAGACAGACAGAAATACTTGAAGAAAAATACTTCCCCCACACAGAAATTGGACTTTCTTTTTCTGTTCTTTTTTTTAAGCAAGAATTTTATGGCACTTGTTACACAATTAGGTCATATAAGGGCTGAAGATTAGAGATGTACAAGAGAGTTATAAACACAAAAAGGAGGAGAGAAAAAGGCGATAGATTTTCTATAATAAAGGAGTAAACCCAACTAGAGCACCCACCAACCGCCCCCTATGTCTTCTGTGAGTTAGTCAAAAGAACCTAACTTTCAAACAACAGGCGCCAGTACCCAGAGAGACAGAGGAAAAATAAACACCGTAACTCCAACCATGGGCCTGACCAGCTGGGAGTACTATGTACCCTTCCCTCCTAGTGGGTTGCAATTCATAATCCATGACCTTATTGACACAAGTCAGTATCCTTTCTTCATACTTGCTACGCCTTATTCTAGAAAAACAACCACTCCAAAGACCTGATCTTGAAAAAGAAAAAAAAAAATATGAGCCCCAAAACCCCACACAGAGAGGCTAATCTTTTGAAATGTGTTTAGCATGTTGTAGCCAGTCTCTTCCGCTACCTCAATCAGCACACGTATGGAAAATAAAAATTATTACATGATACCTTCAATAACAAAATTATTTTTTTAACCCGCACTTGTTTTTATACTTTGTGTTTTAGCACCAATAACCACTGTATGCTTCCCAGGAAGTTAAGATTGTTTCAGAACGCTATCAGGTCTGCTGGGGTAATTATATAGATTGTAAAGTGTGTAGAGCTTGCTCTTGAATGGGACTTTGCACTTTACAAATGTTATTTATTATTATCACACTCATACAAATTATATCAAGCATGAAATGAGAGCACCTACACTGAGATGTTCCTCAGAGTTGACACACTTTGGGATGCCCTCAGACTGCCAGCGTCCCTCGCCCACCTCCAGGCTAAAGTGCTCAAAGATGCGGTCCACAATGTAGGCGGGCCGGAGGTGAGGGGAGTTGACCATGTTGTAGGTACACTCTGGGTGCTTCCACACCCAGGGGCTGTCTTTGGCCGTGTGGTTGTACACCAGGTCTGACAGGCTCATCACCTGAAACATTTTATAGCTACGGTTTTACAATCTTTCCAAAACAGGTAAAAGAACACGAGCCACCATATTTGACAACGCCTAAAACAAAGCCTTAAAAAGAACACTGAAAAACAATAGGTTTTCACACCAAGTACAACAGACTCATCATCAGACAAAAAACAGATTGACTTTTGCCAGCTGTTCACCTGAACAAAAAAACCCTCCTTAATAGATAACAATTTTTAAAATTCAGTATTAATAAGTTTTACAGCACTAGCAATACAAAAAGGCCATATAAGCGTGAAGATACGAGTTGTCATTAGAAAATAACGTACAAGGAAAAGAAGGAGGAGAGACAAGGACACAAGATGTCTGAAAGGAAAGAAAGAGCATACCACGCCATAGTGCCTGCCAGCCACCCACTCACAATCTACAGGAACAGTTTTCCAAACTATTCAACACATTATAACTTTTTACATCAGGTTGGGCACACTCATTGTCTGACAACAATTTATAGTTATTTTCGGAGATAGAGTTTTATGCTCTCCTGATTTCACTTTTAATACGAATTCCCTGGCTGTCTTTTCATCAGATTTGACATTAAAATGCATTGAAATTTGAGACTACGCATGAGCCCACATTAGTTGCATTCTACATGCCAACTACTCCCTTCAACCCTCCTCCCAAATGATCTAAATTGTGTCGATGCTGGCATTAAAACGACTACATTTTTCTCATCACAACAGTCTTGTTGCAGCAAGAAAAAGCGTGTGGGTGACAGGTACCCCCATGGAAGCGTTGAGGAATTCCATCAGTTTCTCCACATCGTCGAGTGTGTACTTCTTGTCCCCCGGAGAGTAGACTGGGCTCAGATGTAGCTGGTCGCGGATGGAGTAGGCCGAGTTAGAGATGCCCAGCTCTTGTACTGGTGTGAAGTGAATCATGTTGTAGCCAGTCTCAGCCGCTACCTGCATCAGCACACATGTGGAAAAAGAAAAGTATTACACAATATCTTCAACAAAAACAACACAGACTCTCATTATCTTTTTGTGTGGAGACTTTCATCATTATCAAGTGCCAGATCTGCAACAGACATCAGCAATCATGGTTCACTATTCATTTCTTTGCTTGGATGCTCTTTAAAAAAACTATATTATCCTGTCTTTTCCCATCACCCATCTATTGAGGCTTCCCAAGTAAGTCGCTTTGGATCCACCTCTACTGTTCAGTTTGCCTTCAATATTACCAGTGAGCTAGATGCTCAAGGCACCTATTTCCATTCAAGCGTCCCACATAAATGTTTTTAATTAGTTTACCTTTTTGGACTTTGTCCAAGGAAAATGATAAAGTAGCAAACTTTAAGATTACTGTAACAAATGCTATGAGATCTGTAATTGATGTTACTTTCAATATGAGCAACACATGGTGCACTACAGACTTGGACTTGCATTAACATTTCTTTATACAAAAAGACAGAGGCCACAGGATAATGGAAAATGGCAATCAAAGTTGCTGACAATGACTTCAGAGTGAGTAACCACTGCAAGCGAGAAACTTTAACCATTGCTCAAAAAGAGACCACATCATACTGACCAGCTAATATCCTTAAGACTGCAAGAGATGTAATACTATAAAAAGTATCTGATTTATTTCAAAATGTATGCATTTTTGTGTATTTCACTCATTTCTTTTGCAGCAAATTATCAAAGGGAATGAAATAAAGCCCTGTTTCAGACATAGTCGAATAAAAAAAACAAAACACTAAGACAACAGTCTTTCAGTGCATAGTCATGTCAGAGGAGAAGTAGATACATAGCAAGTTGCTGATGGACTCTACAGGTAGCTCCTATTTTTATCTCCTTATATTATTTCCGTCTATCTTGGACTTTTTCCTTGCACGAAGTCACCATTATTGACTCAAATTCAAGTAGGAAAAAAAAAGAAATATAGCAGTGAGGACACCTGCAGTCTCCCCAGCCACTCATCGAAGGGTCCCAGGAGTTTGGTGATGACAGTCTGGCACACAATCTCATCCAGGATGACCTCCTCCTTGTTCGGCCCCAATTGCAACGTCGGGTCCACCAAGAAAAAACCACCGCCATTCCTATTGGCTGCCTTGTCGCTGTAGACACAACGGTTAAAATCAATTTTCTTCTGATCAGTAAGGTCACGAATGGCCCATCACGACTAAAAAAAATTGTTTCCTTGGCAAACTTAAAAGACACTTCTATAAGCTATCTAAAAAATAACTCTACATGGCACCTAATATAAATTTTTTAAAGTAAGACCTGAAAAAACCCCCGGTTCAACACATATTAGATTTTGATTCTCTGAGGCCATTGGTCACGTCAAAAACTGAATTTAAGGTAACCAAAATTTTTATCAAATGAATCATTGCCCCCTCCACTCCACACTTTCTTAAAATACGGACCTTGATCAAAGCTATTACTTACATGACGAAACTTGAAACCTGTTGCAAACAGACTTTGTGCGGTAAAGAATGGCCACTTGACACTTTTTAGGTTAATTTTAATAAGAACTTTACGGCACTGGCAACACACATAGAGGTCATATAAGCGCCGAAGACTAGAGGTGTTACTATATAGTAAAATACAAAGAAAAAGGAAGAGAGAGAGGGACAAAAGGCGTTTAATCACCAACTACACTAAACCAGGAAGTAGTAGTATTGTGAAAAAGAACACACACAAACACAAACTTACTAACAAACACACACACACACATATATATATATTATATACACATCCTCAAAACAAGCAACCACTACCATCAGCCTACCTTTTGTCAATCGTGAAGAAGAAATTGAACGACCCGGCCAGCAGCATACGGATCTCGGCAGTGTGGTCCGTGCGGTCAGCCTGACTGCCCGTGCTAGACTGCCACTTCACCTCGTAGAATGTGTGCCTCTCAAACGGCGTGGAGGGGTCCGGGGGGTGGTTGCTGAACAGCCGGACCGGGGCCGCGATCAAGCTGGGACCCAGCACAAACCGGAGGACCCATCCTGGAAGACAATGATGATAAAAATAATGATACTTATAATGATACTAATAATGATATAATAGTTGTAATAATAAT